GTAACAATTTATGACACATTTTTTGGTAACATCCTAGGATATGTTTTGCATAATACTCATTTATGAGAATGTCTCAAAATAGGTCGAAGGTATTTTGAGACATTTTGAAACATCCCTCGGGATATTTCTTCTGCTTCTTTCTTTTTGATGTTTGATCTTTTTTCCACAGATATTTCAAATATCTCCACAGATGTTAACATCTTAGTAGATGTTTGAAACATTTCTCTACATATTTGAAACATCTTCCTAAATATTTGAGGATTAGGAGTAGTGGGGATAGAGATGAGCATTGCGATATGGAGGAGCAAGGGAATGAAAGAGAGGAGCGTTACGAGATGGAGGATCAAGGGGAGGAGGAGGAGTGGCGGGAGGGGGAGGAGGATGAGGAGGAGGTGAGGAGCGGGAGGAGGAATGGGGGTGGAGGAGGAGGGGGACTGTTTTATCAATAAGAGAACTTTGGGATTTTTAAAAATTATGTCAATAAACTAATCACAAAAGTATCCCTTCTACCCCATTCTTAACACTTTTGTCTTAAAAATTTGATATAAGTTTTGACGTGTATTTAAAATTAAAATACCGCCAAAAAGATATTCTTTAGAGTTTTATATTGATTAAGATAGAGAGCTATTGATAGAATGTATCAGTCCATCAAACTGTATAGAGACCCGGTCCTATACCAGTTTTCACAGAAATAGCTAATGAACCAGTAAGTAAATGACACGAGAGATTTTTACGTGAAAAAATCTCTGCTCAAGGGGATAAAAAACCACGACCTACACTGGTAGGATTTTAACTTCACTACTGAGCAATCTTTAGATTACAACCTATTGCAACCTAGGAATTAAGCTCTTAATCCCTCACTAGCTTGCAATACACCTATTACAAGCCACTTTGCAATACACCTATTACAAAGACTTCAACTCATGACTAACTCTAGTCACGACACAAGCTCTACGGGTTTGTGATTTTTGAGGTTCCTAATTTAAGCTTCTAGATAAGCAAAGTAGGAATTATAATAAATAGCAAATACAAAGATACAACTCAACTAAGGACATACAAAAGACTTGTTATGGAACTGGTCCATAGTAGTGTTGCACTTTGTTCTTGATGCACTTATGACTTCAATGCTGGATAATCAGATCTTGAATGCTTTAGTGAATATCACAAGTGTTCAAGTGATATTTTTTTTGTAATGCTTCTTGTTAATATCCTTTGAATGACATCATTTAGATGATGTAAATACTTGGTTGGTAAAAAGCATTTCCCAATGGGAAGTGACTGCTGCACTGTAGCATGTACAACGCAGGCAATCACTTTTCAGCTGTAGAGTTGACTTTGTACTGCTGTCAGGGAAACTCAAAGGGATCAGGTCCCTGAGTTGATTCTTTTCTGTCTGAAGTCATACAACATACATTAACTTGAGTCCGTTGATAAAGATATATACCAAGTGTACATCAGGTCCTTTATTTGGTTCTTAACAATAAGTTTGTTAAATCATCAAAACATAATTCTAAGATACTTTAAACCCATCAAGTTCCCCCTTTTTGATAATGACAAACTTTAAAAATTGACAACCATTTGCATAGCACAATAAATCAGATAAAGTACCAGGAACTTCACAAGATCCCCCGGACTCTGAACTTCACAAGATCCCCCGGACTCTGAACTTCACAAGTTCCCCCGGACTTTATGCTTCCCCCTTAATCAGATCCCCCTGCTTCAATTTATCTTCCCCTTTTTGGCATCATTAAAAATACACAAGCAAGCAATCAGCATAAAAAAGTCTAGCCTAGCTCACTCATGCCACATGTGTGCACACAACATGATAGAAAAGAGAAGCAGAAAGAGACAAGCAGTTAACAGCAAAAGAGAGTCTTCATTGATTTTTATAAAACATAAGCCTTTTCCATTACAGCAAAGGCAAGTTTGGACTGTTAAAAGCGGGAGCAGTACAAGTGAAATCTATCCACATCACAAAAAAGATAAAAACAACTACCACAAGTCATCAAAACAAAAGATAGAAACTTGACACTGGTCACTGGAAGATTTTCTTAGGGGGCACTAGAGGAGGAAGGCTTGGAGGAGGCAACAAGAGTGTTGAGAACAAGGTCAATCCGAGCATTTGCGGACATTTGCTCTGCGAGCAGTTTCTCTCTCAGGTTCTCCACCTGTTGCCTGAGCTCAGCATTTTCTTTAGACAGACGAGCAACTTCTTCACTTGATGAACTGGAGGGTCCTGGTGCTGCTATAGCCTGACTAAGCTGAGTCTCAAGAATGGCGTTCCTTGCCTTCAGCTTCCTGATCTCCTCTGTGGTACTATTCTGGGCATTGATTAGCTGTGCGATCGTCGAAGTGCTTCCCATTCCTCTAACCTTTTCAATACATTCACATTCCTCCGTGTAGTTTTCGAGAAGGTTTGTTTCCTGGTCCCCATCTTGGAATTTCCTAAGGGTACATCAAAGAAGTTGAAGACACGCGTGAGAAGAAAGCCATACGGAAGTCCATGGTTCCCATCTTTGAAAGCTGCCACTTTCTATATATGTTCAATCATAATGGCAGGCAAGTTGATAGAACGAAACTCATCTAGTGCTTCCATTAAGTATAGATCAGACCTGGAAGTAATGGACATTATTTCAGCACGAGGGAGCAGAACCTTGTTAACCAACTCGAACAACAGTTGGTACACAGGAAGCAGAGCCTTCTTGTGTACCCATTCACCATGCTGGACAGCTTTTTCTTTCACAATGACGCTCCTAAAATTAGAGCCACAAGCACCTCTCACAGATGACAACCCTTCAGATGGAACCTTGAGAATGTCCCCCAACACAGTAGCATCCAATACCATATCCACTCCATTCACTAAAACACAGATATGGTCATCTTCAATAGTGAAGAGGTCGGCATAGAAGCTTTTGACTTTATCCTCATATACTTTGGCCACATCCTCTTTGAACAGATGGCCCCACTGCTAAAATTCCACCATCTCAAGAATTTGTCTCATACCCGCCATTTCAGAAATCTCTGGGTCAAAAGTGCGACCCCACAGTACCTTTTGATGTCTCAACCTTTCTTGCCCTAGTACACTTACACTTTTCACTTTTTTTTCAGAACCGGGTTCCCTAACAGTTTCCAACTTCCTTTTGCCAGACCTGCCAATGGACTTGCCCTTACCACTTGATTTTACTAGAATATCATCATCAAACACAGATTCTTCCTCCACAACTTGCTTAGACTTGACACTACCTTTCACAGACTTTTTACTTGGTTTTTCAACAACTTTCTTTGAAGCACTCTCAATAGATTGTTTCTTTTTCTGAGATCTCTCAACCAGGGAACTTGGTTCCTCCTGAGCATCCTCATCCACCTCTACTACTGGAATATTTTTGTCACACACAATTCCCCTTCCTTTATCAGCCTCTTCTTCTTCTTCTTGCTACTTCTTCTGCTTTTCTTCAGGGCAGACTCAAAAGCCTCCTTCTTTTGCAACCTTGTGGTAGGTTGCTTAGAAGGGGGCTCAGGAGTGACCACGAGCTTTCTAATCTTGAAGGAGCACTGAGAACCACATCATCCTGATCATCCTTATCACTAAGTCTCACAACAGGAGGGATAGACTCCAACGGCTCAGCGTCAAAGTGAGGAGACGGAGCAGGGTCAAAGCTGACCTGGAAAGATAATTCCTGACCTATTTCCTCAAGGAGGGGATCAGGTTCATCAGCAGGGTTCCCAGTAGCTTCTTCAGGTGCAGGTGGTTCAAAGAGCACCATTGTTCCTTTTTCTTCTAAGAGCGGAGTCTCTTCCTCCTGAGACTCAGGCATGGTAGAAGGTCCTTCATTCACCAGTCCCTCAGCAGCAATGGCCAATATGTTTTCAGTGGCCTCCTTTCCCAAAGACTCCATGGGAGCAACAGTGTCCAAGACTGGAGAACTTATGTACTGATCAATATCTTCCTCAAAAACCCCTTTATCTTGTTGAGTTTCACCCTCTTTTTCATCCTTATTCTAGTTTTTGAGAGTATTAGGCAACAAAGAAGAAACATTGTTGACTTTTGAGACTTCTGAGTCTTCAACACTTAACGAAGGAATATGGTCAGATGGAGTGGTGAGAGAGATAAGAGGTGAAAGAGAATCAGGTTTGGATATATCGGTGTCAGTAATGGTGGAAGAGGGGATTTTTGGTGGTATTTCGGAGGAGGCAGATGAGTCGAAGATGTTACCTTCCAAGGTGGGTAGGGTAGCTTGCTCTTTAGCCATGGTAGATAGTTAGATTGAAGAATCTGGAAGGATGGAGAGAGAGAGAGGTATGATCGCTCAAGGTTAGGAATTAATGGGTTTTAAGGAGGGAAAGGATAATTATAAGGGAAGAGAGAAACGGGTTCTGAAATGGTGGTAGGTTTGTGGGAAGATGCACCGTTGCAGAGGGAAGTGAAAATATTTGAAAGAAAAGGTGGATGACGTGGCAGTTAATTTTATTTCTTTTGAGATACGCATAAGAAAAATACAAGACTACTAACCTGTGGTACAAGAACTGGGTTCCTGACCAGTCTTTTTTAAAAAGATTTTCAACTCTCTTTTGCTGCTCATGCATTGTTCCTTTAGCTTCTATAATCATCATGTGTCTTCCTGCAACGGTATAGAAGTGAGTTAAGCTTGGCCAGAAAACACTTTAGCTAGATTTACATGAATGTAATTTTCATAGCCATAGGGAAGGGAATCTGGTTCTCAATTTGGCTTGATTAACCCCAGTGCCATCCTGTTTCTCTCAAAAAGTTCCTCGCTTAGAGCTTTGGTGAAGATATCTGTAATTTGGTCTTTTGTACTACAGAACTTCATGCAAATAAGCCCCTGCTCCACGTTGTCTCTGAGAAAATGATGTCTCACATCAATGTTCTTGGTTCTCTAGTGTTGGACCGGGTTCTTTTCCATGTTGTGTGCACTGTTATTATCACATAACAGAGGTACACAGTCAGTGTATACCCCAAAATCCTCCAATTGTTGTTTGATTCACAAGAGCTGAGCATAGCAGGACGCTGCAGCAACATATTCTGCTTCTGCTATTGAGAGAGCTACTGAATTTTGCTTCCTTGTACCCCATGAAATCAGATAGGATCCTAGGAAATGAGCCATTCCAGATGTGCTCTTCCTGTCCACAAGGTAACCTGCATAGTCAGCGTCAACATAACCAACAATATTAAAGTTGTCACCTGAAGGGTAATACAGAACCAGTTCCTGTGTTCCCTTAAGATATCTCAGAATCCTTTTAGCAGCTTTTAGATGAGATTCCTTGGGATTTGATTGAAACCTTGCATATAAACCCACATTGAATACAATATCTGGCCTGCTGGCAGTGAGGTAGAGGAGTGATCCAATAATGCCTCGATACATTGTTTGATTTATAGGAGAGCCAGATTCATCCATGTCTAGATTAGCGGTAGTGGCAATGAGGGTGTCAATCACCTTTGATGCTTTCATATCAAACCTCTTCAAAAGCTCCTTGATATATTTCTGCTAACTAATACGATTTCCCTTCGTGGACTGCTTCACTTGAAGACCCAAGAAAAAGTTCAGCTCCCCCATCATGCTTATCTCAAACTCACTTCCCATGAGTTTTGCAAATTTCTCACAAAGTGAGTCAGCTGTTGCCCCAAAGATAATATCATCAACATATACCTGAATAATGAGCAGGTTCCTTCCTCGTTTCTTCAGAAACAGAGTGTTGTCAATTTTTCCTCTTGTAAAGCCATTTTCTAAGAGAAACTTTGACAACCTTTCATACCAAGCTCGAGGAGCCTGCTTCAAACCATACAGTGCCTTGTCCAATTTGAACATATATTCAGGATATTTATGACATTCAAAACCTGGAGGTTGCTTAACATAGACTTCTTCCTTTAGAAAACCATTCAAAAATGCACTTTTGACATTCATTTGGAACAAGGTGAATTCCATATGTGATGCAAAGGCAATGAGAATTCTGATGGCTTCCATACGAGCAACTGGAGCGAAAGTCTCATCATAATCAATCCCTTCCTTCTGATTATAACCTTGGACAACCAGCCTTGCCTTGTTCCTTGTAGTGTTTCCATGCTCATCAAGCTTTTTCCTGAATACCCACCTGGTTCCTATGATGGTTCTATATGAGGGTCTAGGTACCAGGTGCCATACTTTGTTCCTTTCAAATTGATACAGCTCCTCCTGCATAGCTGTGATCCAGTCTGCATCCTTCAAGGCTTCCTTAATATTTTTGGGTTCTATTTGGGAAAGAAAGGCTGAGAAGGTAAGTGAATTTCTGGCTTTTGATCTAGTTTGGACTCCAGAATCAAGGGGGGTTATTATATTATCGAGAGGATGAGAGCTTTTGGGTTTCCAATTTGGAACCTGAATCTCATTAGTGGAGGAACTAGGTAATCTTAAATGGTTCCCTTGAATTCCTCTTTCTGCTACTTGTGGGGTACTTTGAACTGCATCAGCTACTCTTTCTTCAGCTTCAACAGTTGTGATGTATGTACCTGGTTCCTCTTGAGTTGGAGAGGAAGAGGTTGCATTGTCTTCATTTGTCTCCTTCATTTGACTCATCATATCTGCCTTTCCATTTGCCATGTCAGTGATCTCTCCTGGAACTAGCAGTGGCTCACTGTCTTGATCATCCTTGTTGCTCTTCTCACCAGATGGAAGTGTTTTATTGAAGATTACATGAACACTTTCTTCCACACGCTGAGTCCTTTTATTGTAAACCTTGTAAGCTTTGCTTTGAGAGGAATACCCCAGAAAAATTCCTTCATCACTTTTGGCGTCAAATTTTCCAAGCTGATCCTTTCCATTGTTAAGAACATAGCATTTGCACCCAAACGTTCTTAGGTGAGTCAGTTTGGGATTCCTTCCATTGAGCAGTTCATAGGGAGTTTTGTTCAGGAAGCATCTGATCATGCACCTATTCACCAAGTAGCAGGCTGTATTTATGGCTTCTGCCCAGAAGTTTTTGGCTATCCCACTATCAATAAGCATTGTTCTAGCCATATCTTCAAGGGTTCTGTTCTTCCTTTCTATAATTCCATTTTGCTGTAGAGTTCTTGGAGCTGAGAAGTTGTGGGTGATGCCATTTTCACTGCAGAATTCATCAAACTTGGCATTGTCAAATTCTGTTCCATGATCGGATCTGATGCAAGCCACTTTTGATTCCATCTTCACTTGGATTTTCTTGACAAAGGCTACAAACACTTCGAAGGTCTCATCCTTGGTTCTGAGAAACAGTGTCCAAGTGAATCTTGAGTAGTCATCTACTATCACAAAAATATATCTTTTTTCTCCTCTGCTTGGCACTCTCATAGGGCCACATAGATCCATATGAATGAGTTGAAGTGGCTTTGATGTGCTGACATCCTTCTTTGGCTTGAATGAGGATTTCACATGCTTTCCTCTAGCACATGCATCACACACTCTGTGCTCCTTGAATTTTGAATTTGGTAATCCACGAACCAGGTCCTTATGTATCAGCTTGTTCAGAAGAGAGAAGCTTGCATGTCCCAGCCTTCTGTGCCATAACTTTGCATCATCATCAACTGCTTTCAAGCAGCTCATATCACCACTTTGTAGGGATTCAAAATCAGCAACGTAGATGTTCTTGTATCTTTTGGCCACTAGTACCACTTCACCAGTTACTAGATTAGTAACTGTGCACACCTTTGACAAGAACTCCACCTTGTTTCCTTTATCACAGATTTGAGAAACACTCAAGAGACTATACTTCAGGCCATTTACATAGTACTCGTTCTCAATTGAGTGTGAGAGAGGCTTTCTAACTTTTCCAACACCAAGAATGTACCCCCATTTCCTATTTCCAAAGGATACATTCCCTCCTTGCAGGGCTTTTAGTGAAAGGAAGTACATGGTATTCCCAGTCATATGCTTAGGGAATCTACTATCCATAATCCATTGTTGACTTCTTCCTTTCACTGTTCCCTGCACAGATAAATCAAGGGTTAGATTTAGGAACCCAAACAAGTTTGGGTCCCTTGTAATGAGAAAAAGGATGAATGAGAGCTCTTCTAGTCCATGCGGGCAACATGCGTTTCTTATGAGTGGCACCTGGTCCTCTTCCAGTAGTTACTTTTTCAGCAAAAACTTTGTTTTTCTGAACAGACTGGACTCTGGCTTGGCAATTATCCTTGAAATGCACATTGTTCCCACAGTGGGTACAAAGCCAGTTATCAGGTACAATGACGTACTTGCTGTGAGGGTTATAGGGAACTTTCTCCCTTTAGAACCCTATTCCCTGCATGTTTCCACCATTATTAAAGTACATGGCAGTAATAGCATCTGAGGACTAGGTCCACTTAAGAGATTTCTCAAGATCATTTTTTACTTTCTCCAATTCTGCTTGAAGTTGCCTATTTTTCTCAAGCTCAGCACGCAGACTAGTTTTCACATTATTCAGCTCATTTTCAAGTTTAATATGTGCCTCACTAGCTACTTCCTTCCCTTTTTCAGAATTTCCAGGCCTACATTCTGCTTTAAGTCCCTCAATTGTTTCTTCTAGGTCTACGATTGCCACTAAGAGATCATCTTTTTCTTGCTCAATAATGGCAACTTTCTCCATTAAGGCATTCTTTTCTTTACTAAAGTTCTCTGTGGTTTGTTTCAAGTCAACTACAACTACCATTAAATCATCTCTTTCATGTTCTACACTAGCAATTTTTTCTGTTAGAACCTCCTTCTCATTTTTCAGATTTTCTATAGTTTCCTTCAGGTCAACTACACAAACCAACAAGTCATCTCTAGTCTGCTCAACATCTCCTAACTCTATGGTCAAGGCATCCTTATCACTCATAAGACTATGATATGCATCAATCAAGACATTAGCTAATGGCATGACTTTCTTGGGAGAGTAGGATTTTAGATTCCTTTGAACATCCCTAAAGTTTACCTCATCATTGTCATCATCTTCATTATCGTCTGACTGAGCCATCAAAGCAAATATTGAGTCATATTTATTTGCTTTATTTTCAACTGCCATCATGGAACTATCACCTGCATCATTTTCTTCTTTTGCTTCACTGTAGGAATCTTCCATGATGCAAGATCTTGCTTCACAACATTGTCAGCTATGTTTTTCCTTTTGAAGCATTTGTCAGGAATGGGGTTCCTCTTGGCTGCTTTATCAAAGTTGTGCTTGAAATACTCTTGCTTCAGAAGAGGACGATCCTTGATGAAATGCCCTGGCTTTCCACACTTATGACAGAGGTCATAATTCTTTGGTTTGTTGGAACTGCCTCTCTTTGGTATACCTCCATTTCTTCGAACCATTTTCTAAAACCTTCTAGTAAGGTATGCCATGTCACTATCCTCCTCACTCGAATCATTGTTTTCAGCTTTGATTACTAGGTTCTTCTCCTTCTTTGGTTCTCTTCTTTCACTGTCCTTCTTTATCTTCATCTCGTAGGTTTTCAGATTCCCAACTAGCTCGTCCATAGTCAGTGTCTACAGATCCTTGGCTTCAGTGATAGCATTTACCTTACTTTCCCAGGAGCTGGGTAAAACACTAAGTACTTTCCTCACGAGCTTGTTCCTAGGAACGATTTTTCCAAGAGAGTGTAGCTCATTTATAATGGAAGTGAATAGAGTCTGTATGTCTTGAATGGATTCATCATCCTTCATTCTAAAGAGCTCATACTCAGTGGTGAGCATATCGATCTTGGACTGCTTTACTTTAGTAGTTCCTTCATGTGCCATTTGTAAAGCTTCCCATATCTCCTTGGCAGACTGACAGGCTGAAATCCTGTTATATTCATCAGGTCCTATACCACACATCAAAATCTTTTTGGCGCAAAAGTTCTTCTCTACAGCTTTCCTGTCAGCGTCATTGTACTCCTTCCTGATTTTCGGCACCATTACAGCAGGTTCTCCTACCTTCTTTGTTGGGACATATGGACCATCACAAATAACGTCTCATAAATCGGAGTCTTCTGCCATTATAAAGTCATGCATTCGAGTCTTCCACCACCTAGAGTATTGGCCGTTGAATCTTGGGGGCCTGTAAGTTGATTTTCCTTCCTCGAAGTTTAGTGGAGCAGCCATGGTGAGGATCCTCTCTAGGTGTTAACCTTTTAGAAAGAACCTGCCCTGATACCAATTGATAGAATGTATGAGTCCACCAAACTGTACAGAAACCTAGCCCTATACTAGTTCCCACAGAAATAGCTAATGAACTAGTAAGTAAATGACACGAGAGATGTTTACGTGGAAATATCCCTGCTCAAGGGGATAAAAAACCACGACCTACACTGGTAGGATTTCAACTTCACTACTGAGCAATCTTTAGATTACAACCTATTGCAACCTAGGAATTAAACTCTTAATCCATCACTAACTTGCAATACACCTATTACAAGCCACTTTGCAATACACCTATTACAAAGACTTCAACTCATGACTAACTCTGTCACGACACAAGCTCTACGGGTTTGTGGTTTTTGAGGTTCCTAATTTAAGCTTCTAGATAAGCAAAGTAGGAATTACAATAAATAGCAAATACAAAGATACAACTCAACTAAGGACATACAAAAGACTTGTTATGGAACTGGTCCGTAGTAGTGTTGCACTTTGTTCTTGATGCACTTATGACTTCAATGCTGGATAATCAGATCTTGAATGCTTTGGTGAATATCACAAGTGTTTAAGTGATGTTTTTTTGTAATGATTCTTGTTAATATCCTTTGAATGACATCACTTAGATGATGTAAACACTTGGTTGGTAAAAAGCCCTTCTCAATGGGAAGTGACTACTGCACTGTTTCTGTATTGTAGCATGTACAGTGCAGGCAGTCACTTTCCAGTTGTAGAGTTGACGTCGTACTACTGTTAGGGAAACTCAAAGGGATCAGGTCCCTGAGTTGATTCTTTTCTGTCTGAAATCATACAACACATATTAGCTTGAGTCCGTTGATAGAGATATATACCAAGTGTACATCAGGTCCTTTGTCTGGTTCTTAATAATAAGTTTGTTAGATCATCAAAACATAATTCTAAGATACTTTAAACCCATAAGCTATCTCTTTCTCTCTCTCTCTCTCTCTCTCTCTCTCTCTCTCTCTCTCTCTCTCTCNATTCGCTTCCTTTTTATTTGCGCTTCTTTGCTGCGGCTGGGCTTCACCAGTGGTAGCGGTGACATCCCCCTATTTATTAGGCTTCGTGGTGTTTTGTGTGTATTTCAAGTTAGGGTTGGTGGCTTTTGGCGGCGAGCGAGAAGTGCGTGTCCAAACAGTGAATAACAACCCGGGCAAGTGTTAGCAAGGAGCGGCGGGAGTTGGACATGAATGAGATAGGTGGCCGCAACACCGTAGGGTATACTAATACAATTCCCAGGTTCTACTAGCGGGAGTTGGTACCTCCTGTTTTCCCGTTTCCCTTCGTTGTGTTAGTTAAATTGTTGTCGTCTTAGTTTATATTAGTTTATTCACCATATTAGTATGCGTGTAGTTGTAACTTGTCTTCTATTAGTTTAGTATGTCACCTAGGGCGTGTTAGTCATTTCTCTTAATCTATCATAGGTATAGTGGTTGTGGTCTGGGATGGTCGAGTGGGCTCATATCCTCGGGGGGAGCGGGAGGAGGGGCAGGGGTTGGGGGTGTGGCGAGTGGCAAGGGAAGTAAGGGAAACAAGGGCACTTATAGGTTGAGAATTGTGTCATGGAACATAGGTACATTGATGGGTAAGTCTATAGAGTTGGCGAAGATCCTCCGAAAGAGGGGGGGTCAATATAGCGTGTGTCTAGGAGACTAGATGGGTAGGGTCGTGGGTCGCGGACGGGTATAAACTATGGTACTCCGGGGTCTAGAAGGGTAAGAATGGCATGGGTATCTTGGTGGATAGGAAAGTGCGAGAGTCTGTGGTTGAGGTTAGACGAGTGGGTGAAAAATTGATGACTATTAAGTTAGTAGTTGGAGAGTCCACCTTAAACGTCGTCAGTGCTTACGCATCGCATGCGGGCTTGGCTAAGGAGATTAAACGACGCTTCTGGGAGGGGTTAGATGAGATTGTGCGCCAGGTTCTGCCTGCGGAGAGGCTATTTATAGGAAGGGATTTCAATGGTCGTATTGGGTCGACTGCAAGTGGTTATGGTGAGGTGCATGGAGGCTTCGGTTTTGGGGAGAGGAACGGAGGAGTTACCTCGCTAATGGACTTCGCTAAGGCTTTTGGGTTGGTGACTGCGAACTCTAGCTTTCCAAAGAGAGATGAGCATTTGGTTACTTTTCAAAATGCGGTGGCAAAGACTCAGATCGACTATCTCCTCCTCAAGAGGTGTGACAGAGGGTTGTGAAAGGATTACAAGATTATTCCGAGTGAGGTACTCGCAATGCAACATAGGCTTTTGGTGATGGACGTTGGTATTATGTTAAAAAAGAGAAAAAGGTATGCTCGAAGAAGACCGAGAATCATGTGGGGAGCATTGACCAAGGATAAAACCCAAGAGATGGAGGGGAGGTTGTAGGTTGTGGGAGCCTGGAGGAGCAGCGGCGACGCGGGCATTATGTGGTAGACGACGGCAGGCTGTATAAGGGAGGTTGCAAGAGAGGTGTCAGGGATATAGGCGGGAGTCTTTGGCGGGCACAAATGAGACTGATGGTGGAATGAAGTGGTCCAAGGTAAAGTGGAAGCGAAGAAGGTGGCGTACCTGAAGTTAGTAGGGAGCACGTGTGAGGAGGAGAGGCGAGCGTGCTTGGAGAGGTATAAGGTATCTAGGAAGGAAGCTAAGTTGGCGGTCTCAGAGGCTAAGACTACAACTTATGCTCGTATGTATGAGGAACTGGGGGGAAAAGGTGGGGAGAAGAAGTTATTCAGGCTAGCCAAGACTAGAGAGAGGAAGGCTCGGGATTTGGACCAAGTGAGATACATCAAGCATGACGATGGTAGAGTATTGATGGAGGATGCCCAAATTAAAAGGAGATGCCATACTTATTTTTATAAACTTCTGAATTAAGGAGGGGATCATGATATTGTTCTAGGTGAACTAGAAGATTTCGGGAGTCACCGTGACTTTGGGGACTGCAGGCCAATCGAGGTTGAGGAGGTCATGGGAGCTATGCGTAAGATGAGTAGGGGCAGAGCGTCTGGGCCAGACGAAATTCCGGTTGAATTTTGGAAGTGTGTGGGTAGAGCAGGGTTGAAGTGGCTGCTTGTGTTGTTTAATGTTATTTTTAGGACGAAGAAGATGTCGGATGAGTGGAAGTGAAGTACAGTGGTGCCGTTGTATAAGAACAAAGGCAATATATAGAGTTGTAACAACTATAGGGGTATCAAATTACTGAGTCATACCATGAAAATTTGGGAGATGGTGGTTGAAGCAAGGGTGAGGAGGACGGTGTCAATATCAGACAACCAGTTCGGGTTCATGCCAGGTCGTTCTACTACAGAAGCTATACACCTTGTTAGACGGTTGGTGGAACAGTATAGGGAAAAGAAGAAGGATCTGCACATGGTGTTTATTGACCTAGAGAAAGCATATGACAAGGTTCCTAGAGAAGTTCTCTGGAGTTGCTTGGAGGCAAAAAGTGTGTCGGTTCCCTATATTAGGGAGATTAAGGACATGTATGATTGGGCTAAGACTCGAGTTAGGACAGTAGGAGGTGACTCTGAAGATTTTTCGGTTGTTATGGGGTTCTACCAAGGTTCTGCGCTCAGTCCATTCTTGTTTGCCCTGGTGATGGACGCGTTAACACACCATATTCAAGGGGAGGTGCCATGGTGTATGCTATTCGCTGATGACATAGTTCTGATTGATGAGTCACGAGCCGACATTAACGAGAAGCTGGAGGTTTGGACACATGCTTTTGAGTCTAATGGTTTCAAGTTGAGCAGGACGAAGACGGAATACCTAGAGTGTAAGTTCAACGCCGAGCCAAGGGAAGTGGCCGTGGATGTGAGGCTTGGATCACAAGTCATCCCAAGTATAGACAATTTCAAGTACCTTGGGTCGGTTATCCAGGGGGGAGGGGAGATCGACGAAGATGTCACACACCGTATTGGGGTGGGGTGGATGAAGTGGAGGTTAGCATCTGGAGTCTTGTCTGACAAGAGAGTGCCACCGATACTCAAAGTTAAGTTTTATAAAGCGGTGGTTAGACCGACCTTGTTGTATGGGGTTGAGTGTTGACCTGTTAAGAACTCGCATATCCAGAAGATGAAAGTAACAAAAATGAAGATGTTGAGGTGGATGTGCGGGCACACTAGGATGTGCAATATTAGGAATGATGATATTTGGTCGAGGGTGGGTGTTGCGCCCATTGATGACAAGATGCGGGAAGCGAGGCTCAAATGGTTAGGGCATGTACAGAGGAGAAGCCCAGATGCTTCGGTAAGGAGGTGTGAGCGGATGGTTGTGGAGGGCATGAGATGAGGTAGAGGGCGGCCTAAGAAGTATTGGGGAGAGGTGATTAGGCAGGACATGGCAAGGCTTCAGATCTCCGAGGACATGACCCTTGATAGGAATTTGTGGAGGTCAAGGATTAGGGTTGTAGGCTAAGAGGTAGTTGAGTCTTTACTTTCTTCGTACCTTTGTAAGGCTAGTCTGGTAGAATTTTTGTCGTGAGTGGCAATGTTGTGTCTTACTACTCTTTCATTTCTCATAGTGTCGGGTCTATTTACTGGCTATCGCATTTGTTTTGCATCTATCTTCTTGTTCCCATGTTGTTGTTACTTTTCTTATGATTTATGGGGTGATACTAATATTGTGTCTTTTTGTCTTGTTGTCTTTTTTGTATTCTTAAGCCGAAGGTCTTTCGAAAACAACCTCTTTACTCCCTCGGGGTAGGGTAAGGTCTGCTTATACACTACCCTCCCCAGACCTCACTAGTGAAATTTTACTGAGTCGTTGTTGTTGATTAAGATAGAATTGTTTTAGATTCTTATACATTAAAGTGGCGAAACAAGATTGTGCCATCAAAGTCCAACACGAAGAGGTCGAAGTCGCTGCGATGCGAACATATCTGTTATTTTTTAAAAAATTTTACCTTCTATAGCAAACTATTACACCATATTTATTATAAATTAAAATAATTTCAAAATATTAATAATTATAGATACTTTTCTATTTTATACTCCATCCGTTCCAATTTATGTGAACCTGTTTGATTGGGCACGAAATTTAAGAAAAAATGAATACTTTTGGAATTTGTGGTCCTAAATAATTCAGAAAGGGGCCTAGAGTATTTGTGTGGTTATAAAAGCTTCTCATTAAGGGTAGAATTGTAACTTTAAGCAAAATTATTTCCAAATTTAGAAATGGGTCATTCTTTTGGAACAGACCAAAAAGAAAATAGGTTCACATAAACTGGAACGGAGGTAATAGCAAAATAGGTATTTATTTATACCTACTATTGAGACATGAAATACACCAATTATGTTCTTTTTCTCTCTCTTCCTTCTATATCTCTCTATCGGCAAGATTTTCAATCTTCTCTCTTCTCCATCAAATCAGCAGAATCGTTGGCGTCATCATCGAGGCCATCGGTAGAATCGTCGTCGGTGTCAGAATCATCGGCGTCATCATCCACTATTGGCTAATCCTCTTAAGCGAACAGATCTGGAAATGACTACGCCGGAGAAGATTTGAGGGCTGGTTTTTGTTCGTCTCTATTTTTTGTTTTAGTACAATATATACAATATTTTTCTTGGCCGAAAAACGCCATCTACGATGAACTTTCTTCTCTTTTTGCTATTTTTAGTCACATACAATGATACAAATACATTGTATTTTTGTATAAATATATTATTTTTTGCCTGTATTTATGTATTTCGATGGTATGTATTGTTAAATACATCCGAATATCAATGTGTTATGTGATTTTTGTTGTTTGAATACAGTCGAATTGAATACGGTAAATTGAATATAATGTATAATAGTGAATAATGAATATCTAAGAATTAAATATAATATATACGGTCAAATTGAATAGAATGATATACACCATATTTCTTGGTTACCTCACTGTATTTATAAATACAGTCGTGCGAATACATGGAATACAACACAGTAGCAATGAAATTTATGTAAAATTGATTTTGTTAAGTTAAATTAGGAGTGACTCACGCCAATTGATCCACTTTCCGTAATTAAACAGCTGGACTCCCCTATTTTAGGTGAATTCCGCTACTGTATTCATGAATACAGTAGCACGAATACAGTGAATACAGTCACACAACTGAACTCCCCTTTTTGTTTTAGGCGAATTCCTCTACTGTATTCATGAATACAATAGCGTGAATACATCGAATACAATTGCACAACTGGACTTCCCTATATTTTAGGCGATTTTCTCTAATGTACTCATGAATACAGTAGCGCGAATACAACGAATACAGTCGCACAACTGGACTCCCCTATTTTTAGGCAAATTTTGCTACTGTATTCATGAATACAGTAGCGCGAATACAACGAATATAGACGCATAACAACTAAATAGTAGCTTTAGGAAGTAATTATTTTACAAGGCTGATACAATAATAATTTTAAAAGATACACACACATACACATTAAATTAATTGAACTCCTTCCTAAAAAAACAGTAAAATTAAATCCTCAATTTGCCGCGACCTATAATTTACCAATTTTCATTACGTGAAACTCAGCATAAACTTGTTATATGATCAAGTAGTTTCCTAATGTTGACATTTAGATGGTATCATTCTAGTATGTGGGACGGTGCCTATAGTATTGTACAGGAAAAAATACGACATGACACGTGGCCGCTTAAAGAAAGGATATGTGGAATATAAAATGGAGATGGCCATCGAATATAGCTATTCCGCTTGTCACCGAAAAGAATAATGGTCATAAAAAGAGTATTAAATGCTTTGCGCCCGGTAACATTTAATACGGAATATTTTGCAACATTAAGGATGCTGGCTCGTTACAAGGAATTTGGCATTTATTTTTAACGTTACTATTCATCAATGTCCTTCATAATTGACGTTAATGAAGGGCATGATCCAATGACTTCCTTCCCTTGACATAACTATAAATAAAGAGCTCATTTATCATTGTAAGGGACATGAATTTTCTAGCTAACTTACAATACATTCTATACATCATTTTAATACAATTTTTTTTCTCTCGCCTTTTGATCTTATCATTGTTGTGCCCGAAAACCCTATTCCCGGACTCATTAGCTCTTTCGTTCCATCTACATTCTAAGGCTAAATATTTTATATTTCATCAGTTATTTCATTATTTTTTGGATCAAATTAATTCACTTATCTAGAAATCACGAATAAATTTAACTGTACCATTTTATGGATAAACACGTATGATATACTTTATAT